CCCACACACACACACACACACACACACACACACACAATTCAAACACTTTGACCAAGACTGTAATAAAGAAAAAAACAACAACAGCGGAACTCAATATTTCTGTTCAGTGAGCCCGTTCCTCCCTGTGTGTCTGGAGCATTCCTCCAGCTGTGGGTCACTGGCTCGGTTCAGCCCACTCATTGTGGGTTGTGGAGAGAGGTGGGTGTGTAATCAGTTCATTCAGACTTTAGTGCTCAAGGTGGTTTCTTTAATCGGCCTCCTCCGTCTCAACAACAGGACTGGAGACTGGAAAGATGGTCGGGGGAGGGAATACTCACTGTCCAGATTAATTAATGGGTCTACAGACTTTTGAGCATCACTGGCCTCCGTCAAAGGTTTGCAGTTTCGATATTTCTCCACTGTGGGAGGAAAAATAACATAAGCGGTCAGTGCAATGCAAACAAGTGGTCTCAAGTTGTCAAAATCATTTGGTAGGAAATCTAGGAATATCTTGCATTAAGCATTTCTGAGGATAAATGGAATCAAGACAGCTGCAAAAGCTACATGTTATTGTACTGCCATCTAGTGGTGTGGGATTGATCATAATAAAAGGACAGAACAGGCATGTTATAATAATAATTGGCCATTTTGTGTTCACTTGGCTAATTAATTTTTGTTTTTTGAGAGCAAATAGTGTGTAAGTGTTCATCTAATTTTCTTATTTATACAATACAGTTTCTTATGCTCACCAAGACTCCAAAAATCATGAATCAATGTTTTCCATTTAAATATATTTTATTCCTTTGATTAAAAAAAGTTGAATTTACATTTAATGTCTAATGTCATTCTAATATGCTTATTCGATGAACAAGAAACTTCTTATTATGATCAACGATGCTTCATATTTTTGTGGAAACCATGATAGAATTTTTCAGGATTCTTTGATGAATAGAGAGTTCACAAGAGCAGTCTTTATTGGAATCAGAAATCTCCTGTAACGTTATAAATGTCGTTATTGTATTGTGTATATGTGCCAACCTACTCTCTGAATGTTGTATCAGCTATTAAAAGAACTATAGTAGTCAACCACTGGTTATCCTTTCAAATAAATAATAATCATACCATTGTCTCCATACTCAAAACGAACAGCAAGACCCAGCAGCCAGTCAACAGTCTCCTGTCTTTCCTGAGCGCTGAATGGACAGTTCACATCTTGAAGGTACTGCAAACATACATGTATTTATATATAATAACAAAGGACATGATACACTTGAGGGTATTAATTCCTTTAGGCATACAAACAGACATTAGACATACAGTGGGTACGGAAAGTATTCAGACCCCCTTAAATTTTTCACTCTTTGTTATATTGCAGCCATTTGTTAAAATCATTTAAGTAAATTTTTTTTCCTCATTAATGTACACACAGCACCCCATATTGACAGATGAGGGCACATTTCTCCAAAAATGTAATTTTAATATCATTAAAATACACTTGAATTGAGATACATAGACTTTACTAGACTGGTTATGCTCTGCTGTTTGCTCTCTTATAAAGAATAACTATACGGTATAATGTGAAATAATAGGCATATAACATCATTTTTTAAATAAATGGATGGAAAACGGCATTATATTTGCTCAAGTATTGAATGTGTACCTGCAAACATAGATTTTCAAAATGAATTGTTGCAAAATAACACACAACACTGTTCCACACCGTTCAATCTTCTATTATGGGGATACTTTACGCACTGAAAAAATATATTCATATTTTATATTATGTTGAGTTACTTCTTGGTTTGAAAAAAAGCGAAACACTATGTTTTTAAATAAAACTTTTAAATTGTTTATTTCTTACCTTTTTATCTTCTCATACCCTTTTCCCAGTTTTTTTTTATTAATATATTTTGTGTATTGCATGAAAGTGGTTATATAATTTATGGGGGGCATGAATGTAAAATAACTGTTTATTCTGTCCTGATATAAACTGTTGCTTTATTACTTAATGCGTGTCAACTTTATAAAACACTGTATAATAATACACTAATTATAATTTATAATCATATAATTTATTATTTATAATATTATAAATTGAACTGTTATAAATATTTGCTATTTATTTAATAATTGCGCATGAACAATTCCTCATTGTGTTGTTTATTGCAGAAATATAATTCAATACAAAAGAAACAAATACAAAGAACATATGGGGGAATACAAAGGAGAGAGAAAAAGAAAGGGGAAAAAATTACAATTTACCTAAAAAACGTTCTATAATAAGAGATGTCTTCAGAGCTTTTTAATTAGAGGAGACTTTTTGAAGAGTTAATGTAGATCAGAAGAAAATATTTTGCAGTTGGGTTTAAATGTAAGGTAAGTTATCTAGCTTTGTGGATATCATACAAATAAAGGTTAAGACATCATCTAACTCCTTATTTTCAACCACTGTGTTTTGTATTTTTGATCAGTCGTGTTTAAGGCCCTGCATTCTCCCTCCTGGACACCTGGGTGCAGCAGAACATCTCGAGCTTGTCGGGACGCAGCAGGAGCTCGAGTCGCCTTGTTGCTTTGGCGAAGGGCTTTGTACGTACAATACAACAGTGAAGATCTAAAGACATTTAAAACATCAAGAGAACGCATGAAATCCCCCGTTTGACAGCTGATATTTATCTTTTCGTAAGTAGACATTTACAACTCTCACGCAAATCTCTTTCAATGTAAAGCATCATTTCCTCTCTGTTCCCTCTCATATGTAGCCTGCTAGCGTTATGCTAATGCTAAACGCGGGTCTGTGAGTACGATGCTGATGATCAGTAGTTTCGTCCTCCGTTCTCATGGTAAAACCATTCATAAGCGCTCGAGATCGCCTTTTTAAAAGATATTGGGTTGCATTATTAACATGGCGGAATAATGCAATGCATGCAGGGAGTGCTCAGATTCATGCAGTAACTGCTGCACAACGTGTGCACGTGTGGGTTATTAATGGTAATTAGTGCACAATATTAATGGCTGAAAGCAAATCCTGTATCATGGATATACCTGTTCTTACCAAGGACTCTATTTAACTACTAAACTGTTGCTATTTACATTAGTGGTCGACCGATATGGGTTTTTTGACAGCTGATACCGATATCTTGGAAAACGGGGTGGCCGATATAATTTTATTTTAATTTATATTTAAGAAATTTGAAATCATTTGAAAATGGATTCAAAATAATTGTGTAAAATAAGCATACTTATACTTTAGAAGTCAAAGCATTTTTCACAAATAAATATTTAATAAAAATTAGGGCGGCACGATAAATCGCATGCGATATTTAACGCGCATCTTATCAGTAAAGCCGGTTCTGTAATCAGCGGTAAATCTCCATCACGTACGAGCTTTCACATTGAGCAGCATTAACTACACAGAGCCGTTGTTCACTGACAAGCTGCGCAAAACCACGTTCAGATTCGCGTGATTTTTTGCGCAGCTCTTCGGTGAACAACGACTCTGTGTAGTTAACGCTGCTCAATGTGAAAGCTCGTACGTGATGGAGATTTACCACTGATTACAGAACCGGCTTTCTGACAAGATGCGCGTTAAATCGCATGCGAGATTTATCGTGCAGCTCTAATAAAAATCTAATTAAAAAGGAAGTAAACACTGTAACCAACAGGGCACTCAGTATTCGGTTTGTGTGCATTGGGGATCATATTTTTAATTTTTTTTTCAAATAAAGCCAAGGTAACACTCATTTTACATACAGCACGCAATGAAAATGACATGAATATGATGGTGGGCAAATGCGTAAAGTGCAGCATAATTTGAAATCACTAGTTTAAAGTTTGTCGATCGCGCGTCTCCAGTCAAGCAGAACTCTCCTCCTGTCTGCATTCAATTTGCACGGATCGACCGTCACGCAGAGAACACGCGATCATGCAGGATACAAATGCACACGTCACAAGATCTCAACTAGATTCGATTAAGTCTGCAAGGTTTGTGAAATTAAATGTTCATTAATCATTCAAAGATTTGTTTACATTATATAAATGCGTATTTGCTGAATGCTGATGGCAAACGAGTAAGTATTATAATGTTTGCCTTTCTATTACTAATAATATTAAAGCAATCGTTATAATACTTTGTATACAATTTAATTCCTTTGTTTAACAGTTCTATCTGATTATTAGATAGACTTCTATCCATATTAGACAGAACTGAACGACGACAGCGAACAAGAGGGAGAATGTGAGCGGTGTGTGCTCAAGCGCTGCCGTTCTAAGCAGCGTCAAAATAAAAGTCCCACCTCGAACACATCGGCCAAACAGAAAAGCTTATCGGCCGATGCCGATATTTGAAAAATTCCAAATATCGGCCTTGGCGATATATCGGTCGACCACTAATTTACATATAATGTTCTTTCCTACTATGCAGTAAATGTTTCCATCATACTTGGTCAAATATATACAATGTCACAATGAAACGGTTGTAGCGATATATTGTGACGTACTTCAGAGTATAACAGATTATTGAAAAATAAAAGAATGTCTGCCCCACTTTTTCAGCACCCTTGGTTCCAGAAGTGTTTCTCTTATAAGGATTTTTAAAAAGTTTTCTTTAAAGAGTTATGAGCCATGAACCGAACTAACCAGGTGAATCACAACATTACAAACTTTGGTTTGAAGCAAAAAAATATTTGAAAATCAGACAAAAAGACAAAGGTGTAAGACTGTGTACTTAATGGCTTTAATGAGGAAAAGAACTACAATCCCATGAAGCATTGCAAATGACAATCAGATTTAAAATAGTGTAGTAATATGTAGGGCTGCACAATGCTGTCAGTAATTTAATGTTAGTTAATGTAATAAACTAGCCATAAATAAGGCCTGATTCCTGCAGTAATATTTTCAATTTGTCGGTGTAATTTTCCATGCAGAAACACTGCACATTTCCATTTTCTTAAATGTAATAAAACTTGACTCAGTTTTATGTTCTTGACATTTTCAAGCTGCTTTGCAAAATATTGACTACAGTGTTTTTTCGGTTCCAGCAGTGAACCCACGTAATGTCACAGAGATCGACGCGTGAACATGAGACTGAGAGTGCAGGTTTGCTGTCAGATTTATTTGGATCTCTCTGAGTTTCATATGGCATGGGAATGATTTAGCTAGGCTTTAGTATAAAACTAAATATGAATAGGACTCAATCACTGAATGGATGGAAATGTTTGAGCAGTGGCCTGGTAGTGTAAGTGCCCTGGCATGTGCTATTGTGATATTCCTGCAGCTTGCATATATATATATATATGTATATGTATATGTATATGTATATATATATGTATATGTATATGTATATGTATATATATATCTGTATTGTTAAAAGCGCTATATAAATAAAGGTGGCTTGACTTGACTTGACTGGAGTAATGACTGCTGAAAATTTAGCTTTGCCATTACAGGTATACATTAAAGGCTTGGTTCACCCAAAAATGAAAATTCTGTCATTAATTACTCACCCTCGTGTTGTTCCAAACCCGTAAGACCTTCGTTCATCTTCGGAACACAATGTAAGATATTTTTGATGACGCAAACATTTTTATCATTACGCTGGTCGGCGCCACCACACGCTCGTGTCATGATACTGACGTGAACGCACATCCACAAGTGACGCAGTAGAAACTAAAATGTGGAATAAAGTCGTTATTTATGTTTTCTTTGCACAAAAAAGTATTCTTGTAGCTTCGTAACTTTACAGTTGAACCACTGATGTCACACGGACTACTTTGTCAATCATCTTGGTACTTTTCTAGACCTTGAACGTGGTAGTTACCTTGCTGTCTATGGGAGGGTCAGAGAGCCCTCATATTTAATCAAAAATATGTTAAATTGTGTTCTGAAGATGAACGAAGGTCTTACGGGTTTGGAACAACACGAGGGTGAGTAATTAATGACAATTTTCATTTTAAATACGTGAAAATAATTACATAATATTAAATGAAAAAGTGTAGGTATAATTTCTTAGCCAGAGGCCATTGTACACAAGAAAAGCATTAATTTATGTGTGGATCATGTACATGTATGTGAATTAATATGCTAACATTTTGACAACTTTGTTTTTGTTTTGTTTTTACTTTTTATTTTTCAGGTCTGCATGTACTGAATAGGTTGCCAGAGATCTCTCTATTGCTCACCCACACTTGCAAACACATATTTTGCTCATTCCATGTTGGTTGCCAGCTCTAATTTTGTTTTGCTATTTATTTGAAATATGAAGTTTACCGTAAATGCAGCTGGTACGTTTCAGTTATATGTATAAAACAGACAGTTTCAGTTTGCGTTTAAATGTTTTTAACATTTAATTTTGACATGTTTATATTATTTCAATTGTCTTGACAAATGAATGTTTTTTTTTTTTCCCTCTTGTGAATGTAAAATTACTATTCTGTAATAT